GAACTCCATTCCCGGGCCACATTTTGGATGCCCGGAGCCAACTGTAGGCCACTTCGTGCTCTTCGAGTTCCCAGAACTCCATTCCCGGGCCACATTTTGAATGCCCGGAGCCAACTGTAGGCCACTTCGTGCTCTTCGAGTTCCCAGAACTCCATTCCTGGGCATGATTTTGAATGCCCGGAGCCAACTGTAGGCCACTTCGTGTTCTTCGAGTTCCCAGAATTCCATTCCTGGGCCACATTTTGAATGCTGAGGCAGGCTGAGGCTGAGGCTGAGGCAGGCTGAGGCTGAGGCAGGCTGAGGCTGAGGCCGAGGCTGAAGGCAGACTGAGGCTGAGGCTGAAGCAGGCTGAGGCTGAGGCTGAGGCAGGCTGAGGCTGAGGCAGGCTGATGCTGAGGCAGGCTGAGGCTGAGGCTGAGGCTGATGCAGGCTGAGGCTGAGGCAGGCTGAGGCTGAGGCTGAGGCCAAGGCTCAAGGCAGACTGAGGCTTTGGCTGAGGCTGAGGCTGAGGCTGAGGCTGAGGCTGAGGCAGGCTGAGGCTGAGGCTGAGGCAGGCTGATGCTGAGGCAGGCTGAGGCTGAGGCTGAGGCTGAGGCTGAGGCTGAGGCAGGCTGAGGCTGAGGCCGAGGCTGAAGGCAGACTGAGGCTGAGGCTGAAGCAGGCTGAGGCTGAGGCTGAGGCAGGCTGAGGCTGAGGCTGAGGCAGGCTGATGCTGAGGCAGGCTGAGGCTGAGGCTGAGGCTGATGCAGGCTGAGGCTGAGGCAGGCTGAGGCTGAGGCCGAGGCTGAAGGCAGACTGAGGCTGAGGCTGAAGCAGGCTGAGGCTGAGGCAGAGGCAGGCTGAGGCTGAGGCTGAGGCTGAGGCTGATGCTGAGGCAGGCTGAGGCTGAGGCTGAGGCTGATGCAGGCTGAGGCTGAGGCAGGCTGAGGCTGAGGCCGAGGCTGAAGGCAGACTGAGGCTGAGGCTGAAGCAGGCTGAGGCTGAGGAGGCAGGCTGAGGCTGAGGCTGAGGCAGGCTGAGGCTGAGGCAGGCTGAGGCTGAGGCTGAGGCTGATGCAGGCTGAGGCTGAGGCAGGCTGAGGCTGAGGCCGAGGCTGAAGGCAGACTGAGGCTGAGGCTGAAGCAGGCTGAGGCTGAGGCTGAGGCAGGCTGAGGCTGAGGCTGAGGCAGGCTGAGGCTGAGGCAGGCTGAGGCTGAGGCTGATGCAGGCTGAGGCTGAGGCAGGCTGAGGCTGAGGCCGAGGCTGAAGGCAGACTGAGGCTGAGGCTGAAGCAGGCTGAGGCTGAGGCTGAGGCAGGCTGAGGCTGAGGCTGAGGCAGGCTGATGCTGAGGCAGGCTGAGGCTGAGGCTGAGGCTGAAGGCTGAGGCTGAGGCTGAGGCTGAGGCAGGCTGAGGCTGAGGCTGAGGCAGGCTGATGCTGAGGCAGGCTGAGGCTGAGGCTGAGGCTGATGCAGGCTGAGGCTGAGGCAGGCTGAGGCTGAGGCCGAGGCTGAAGGCAGACTGAGGCTGAGGCTGAAGCAGGCTGAGGCTGAGGCTGAGGCAGGCTGAGGCTGAGGCTGAGGCAGGCTGATGCTGAGGCAGGCTGAGGCTGAGGCTGAGGCTGAGGCAGGCTGAGGCTGAGGCAGGCTGAGGCTGAGGCCGAGGCTGAAGGCAGACTGAGGCTGAGGCTGAAGCAGGCTGAGGCTGAGGCTGAGGCAGGCTGAGGCTGAGGCAGGCTGAGGCTGAGGCTGAGGCAGGCTGAGGCTGAGGCTGTGACTGCGACTGCCGTTGCCACTGCGACTGTCATCGCGAATGCGACTACGACTGCGAGAACAGCAGAATTCTACAACTGGATTCTCATCCGAATCTTAAGTGGAATGCTTCCAGATATGCTCCTACACATCGATGTTAGGTTGCTTTGCCCGGATAATCTGGAGTAGTGTCGGCCCACGTCCAAGGAGCAGATCCTCTGCACGAGCTGTGGTGGACGGTCCCAGGGGAGGGGTTTAAGTTTGGCCAGCCGTGTGAGGCTCCGCCACGGAAAGGTTTGGAGATTTTGTTTGAGTTCAGGAAGGGGAATTGTCCGAACCCCCGAGTTCGGGCAGCCATCGACCGTGCTGCGCCGTTCGATAAGCATGGCCTCTCGGCCGCCCTTCCTGTTCCAGACGCTCCGAATGTCGCGAGGACCTTACATTCGAGTTCGGATACGGTCCCCTCCTATGAGCAGCGTCTGCCAGTTTTGTGTGAGAGGGCCCGTGTCAAGGAACAGGCCAGGCCGGCCGCTTCCCGTAGTTATTTAATCGCTTCGCTCATTCCGCCGGCCCATATTGTCGCACCGTTGTGGGTTAGCCGAGTTTGGGGGCCTCTTGGGGGCCGTTTTGGGGCCTCTTGGGGCCTCTTTTGGGCCTCTTGGGCGCCTCTTGGGGCGTCTTGGGGGCCTCTTGGGGGCCTCTTGGGGCCTTTTTGGGGCCTCCTGGGCGCCTTCTGGGGCGGAGGGCTCGATTTTTCAGTTCTCGGTTCCCCTCTTGAGCCCCTCTTGGGCCCGTCTTGGGGCCTCTTGGTCCGTCTTGGGCGGCACTTGGGCCGTCTTGGGGGCCCTCCTGGGCCGTTCCGGGGCCGTCTTGGGAGCCTCGTGGGCCGTCTTGGAGCGGTCTTGGGGGCCTCTTGGGCCGTCTTGGAGCGTCCGGAAGCCAAAAAAGCCAGAACGCAAAAAACATCAAAAAAAAAACAATGAAAATCAACGATTTTGGCCTCTTGGAGCCCTCTTCGAAGGCCTCTTGGAAGGCCCTTGGGGCGTCTTGGAGGCCTCTTGGGCTGTCTTGGGGCCCTGTTGGGCGTCTTCGGGCGATCTTTGGCCGTCTCGGGGCCCTCTTGGACCGTCTTGGAGGCTTCTTGGGGACCTCTTGGCTCGTCCTGGGGCCCTGTAACAGGGCTCCGGCATCTCTGGCCCGACCTTGCCGGGACCTTGCCGGGGACTTGCCGGGACCTTGCCGGGGTACTTTTCGTCCGGGGACCCCCAGGGGCCGCCCCCGCGCGCGCGAACTAGAAATACTGTTAACCAGGTACAGGAGATCTTAGCACGCCCTGGCCCGTTGGGCCGGCGAATTTTTCCGTTTTTGACTGGGTTCTTTTACTGGGGCCCGCGGCCCCCTAATCGGTACCCCACCAAGTGTTGTTCATTTCAGTGCTGTGCATTCTCCTTTGGGCCCTTCGTTCGGTTCCGTTCCATTTTGTTCCGTTCAGTTCCGGTCCTCCTCCTCCTCCTCCTCCTCCTCTTCCTCCTCCTCCTCCTCCTCCTCCTCCTCCTCCTCCTCCCAGTCTCTCCTCGCCCCCCGCGGCTGCAGGGCACAGGACATGGCTGCGGGGGCCACGGTCCCTGGCTCCTCCTTTGCTCCTGCGACGCCACCACGGGTCGAGGCCGAGGTGCCTCGACCTGTGGAGGAGGAGGAAGAGAAGGGGGAGGAGGAGGAGGAGGAGGAGGAGGAGGAGGAGGAGGAGGAGGAGGAGGAGGAGCACGCACCACAGAAAATTGCCTCGCGAGCGCGTGCGCGACAGCTGCCACCCCGAGCCCACTGCTTCCCGAGAGGGGGAACTTCCGTATCGTTCTACCGATCCCTATCCCCGTCGCCATCCACATTTCGAGCCCCACCGTCTCAGCACCTCAGTTGGGGATATGCCCCTTGAAGCCCGAAGAGAACAGCCTATATCCCCATCCAGAAGGGGTACATCGGCCAGTGGGGCCCAGTCCACGCTCGTGGGGATCGGGATCGGATAAACAATGCTTAAACATGTGGCCACGTCGGCGCAAGCGTGCGACGTGGGACAAAAAACGTCAGGCAGCACGGTAGGATGGGCTGCCACCGCCGCCTTGCTACTTGTACCCGGTGGGCCCCGCGCACGGAGAGGACCAGCGCTTGCGAACAGCTCGTCCGACAAAAGAAAGGGGCATTAGAGAGTACAAAGACGGAATTGGTTTGTCTTATCCGAGGCGGGAATTTATACATGACCACCGCCTGCGAGATCAAAATGTTCGGGGACCTTGCAGGCGGTGGATATGGGTATATTCGGGCCCCCAGGGCCCAAAATATGTTTATATCCACCGCCCGCTGGGGCACCAGGACGTCGTTTCCCAGGCGGTGGATATGGATAAATCCCCGCCTCGCATCTTAGTCCTTGTTTGTCCGTGACTTCATCCGACAGTGCTGATTAGAGGGCGACACGAATGGTTGATGTCGACGACTTAGCTCCAGGCATCCCAACTACAGTCCGAATTTTGGGAGCAATGTCCGCTCTGGTTTCGCGAGCTCTTTGTTCCCAAGCTTTTCCATGGGCCTTTCCACGGGCCTTCCTCTGGCGTTCCTCGTGCATCTGGGCACAACTGGGGCCCAAAAGGAGACGTCGTTCCTTCCCAGGACTCCTTCTGCGAGACTCTTTCTGCACGGCTGGAGCAGATGGGTCCGAAGAGTCGCACCGCGTCGGCCATGCGGCGCCATCCTGGGCCTGAAAGTCTCCACCCTGGCGTCGCGGATGCATCGCCGATGCGTCGGCGATGTGGCGCGATTCTGCGGCCCGCTCTGCTGGCCCACTGCTCTGGGGAGGTCTCCGGTGGAGGTCCCACGGCTCCCAAATAAAGCCCTGAACGAGCCTCATCGTTCAGTATCCTTCATCCGACCCCCATCCCCATCCTCATCCCCTTCGAGACCCCCACCAAAGTACCACGCCAGCTGGGGATGCACCCCTCGAAACCTGCAGGGGACGGCCTGCATCCCCATCCAGAGGGGGTAAATCGGCCAGCGGGGCCCAGGCCGCGCCGCTGGGGGATGGGGATCGGCTGAACGATGCTCCCGGATCCTGCGGCCCGTCGGCCCTGGCCACTTCCGCGCAGCCCTCGGGGGCACGGCGAAAGCCTCAGAGGTGTGCGCACGGCTCGCTCGCCGCGCGCGCAGCGCCCGCTCGCTCGCCGCGCGCGCGGCGGCCTCTCCGCTGGCGGGGGGGGGGCGCCGGGGCCCGGGGAGTGTGCAGGACCGCGGCGGCGAAGCGCCCCGCCAAAGTGACGGGCCCCCAGCCCCCGCGCGCGAGGGGCGGGGGGGGGGCGCAGGGAGGCAGATAGGAGCGACCGGGACCTTCCATCAGGCGATCGCAGACACGGATCAAGGGGGGCGTGGATTAGCGACGAGCCCCGCTTCCGTGGGAAATCGCGGATTTCCGCCGCCGAGCGAGGCGGCACCGGCCGCATTTTGGGGAGGGCACCTCCCCCGATCCATGGATTTGGCGACCGCGCGCCAAATCCATGGATCGCTAATCCATGTTTGCGCGCCCCCGGTTCCAGTCCTGGCCGACCGAAATGGGCAAAGAAGGAATGGGGACAAAGGCCGACAGCAGTTCTTGCCCGTTGTGAACCCGGTACGTTGTCGGTGTCGCAGCGGACGCTCTCTTGTTGGCAACATTTGTTGTATCGTGCTTTGCCGCACCCATTCCGGGCGTGCAGATGGCCAGTTACCCTATATATCCCAACTATCGTGTGATGTTGGGTCGTTTTGGAGAGACAGCCTTCTCCCATCCTTGTATCTGGGTTCCGCGTGTGCTCACCACTATCATCATCACAGCATCACCAACACCATCACCATCACCATCACCAGCATCGACATCATCATCAGCACCATCGTCATCATCATGACCATCACCATCACCATCACCATCACCATCACCATCATCATCATCATCATCATCATCATCATTATCATCATTATCATCATCAGCATCATCAGCAGCATCATCATCAGCATCAACATCGGCATCGGCATTATCATCAGCGTCATCATCATCCGTATATAGCCATTTTGGCTCAAGCCATTTTGCATCAAGCCGTTCGGTCTCTCTTTGGAATCAATATTGTTTCTTGTGCGATGCCTGACGAAAGTCGTTGGTTTGAGATAGTGGAAACATGTGATGCCAGATCGTTTGCAGAGTTCCTACTCCGATATGGTTCTCGAGATGCTGTCGAACATTTGCTTCGAAGTACCTTGGACACAGTGGCTGGCATGAAGTCACACTTTCAGGATTTGGATGACCAGAGTTTCAGCATTGGTTTAGCTTGCCTTGCTCCATCTATTGCTTTGGACAGTGTTAGCCGCAAGCTCAAAGATGTCGGCTATCGTTTCCCATGCGGCAAGATCCGTTTGCCACCAATTCGCTCATTCGACAGTTGCGTCCATGCGTACTCAGGTGGCTTCGAGATGCCCGGAAAACTTCAGCAACGGGCCATCCCTTATATCCAGCATGGTCGAGATACGTTGATGCAGAGTTCTGGCCGTAATGGCAAGAGGACAGCGTTGCTCATCGGAGCAATGTGACGAATCAATTTCCGAAAATGCCAATGCCAATTACTCGTAATTGTGCCGACTCGTGACGCTGCTCGCCAGGTGTTCAGCGATTGCTGTGGTTTAGGGGATTCAGTCGGTGCACGTGTATGCGTGTGCCGTAGCGGGTATAAGGACATCGCTTCCAACGCAGTTGCAATGAATGATATTGAAGTTATGAAGGAGGAGGGCCATCACATTATGGTGGGCTCGCCAGATTCGATTTCGGACTTGGTCCACGATGGTTATCTCAAGCTGGACAATTGCTGCACGATAGGTCTGATTGAAGCGAACGTCCTTCTTGGCTCACCCTGGAGAGACCATATTGATTTCATCCGCAGATCGGCTCCGCAAAATGTTCAGGTGTGTCTGACTTCAGATGCAGTGGAACCAGATGCCACGCAGTTCCTGAAAACAGCGGGCACACTAATGCGAGATCCAGCGCCTGCCGTCATTGTGAAGGAGAAGCTCAGTTCACAAGTGCGACAATTTTATGTAATATGTGATGTGAAGGTGCAGATGCAGAGTCTTCCAAAATGGATGTCTGTAAGGAGTTGTGTAGTGAGGTGCTGCCTCTTCTCCAAGTGATTCATTGCCATTCTGTACAAACTTGTGAGTTACTAGCGAGTTCTGGAATCTGGTCGCGCACGGCAATGTTCTACAATAGCCGTGATTTCCGACCCCGTTTTTGTTCGTTTGGCGTGCCCACAACCGTGATCAATCCAATGTTTGAGTGAAGTCTATACGATTGTCAGTTTCGCAGTGCGATTGCTTTCGATTTGCCCAGCACAGATGAGGAACATAATTTTTTGATGAGATGCAGTCGGACCTATGACTGCAAAGGTGTGATTGTTTACCTGGCTATGCGAAATGACGAAGACGACGCACGCCGGATCCGGGAGTTGCAGTTGGACGAATTTCCAGACGATGCAGATTTTTTTGTATACAGTGTTGTGCATCAGTTTACATATGTATCTTTACTAATCTGTGTATTCATTTTAGTCCGTTGCGTATTTGGTTTTCTATGCGTACGCACGTCTCGATTATTCTCAGCAGCCGTGCTACCTGCGCTGTTGTTGCGTAGGTTGCAGGTGCATATCGTGTGACCAGTTGCGCCTCAATTGGCAAAAAAGACAGCATCAGCATCATCATCATCGCCGTCATCGTCATCATCGTCATCATCATCATCATCATCATGATCATGATGATCACCACTATCATCATCACTATCATCATAAGCAGCATCAACAGCATCATCATCATGATCACACCTCACACGTATTGTGGCCCCACTGAATGCTCGGCCACAGCGGCAGGATCCGCATGGCGGCGACACGCAGCTTTCGGCTCACCCTTCGCACGTTTCGTGGCCCCACAGGGTGCTCCAGTTGAGGCCCATATGCCAGGGTCCGCAAAACGTCACGGCCACATTTTGGTACACCCTTCACACGCTTCGTAACCCCATCGGGAGCTTCAGACGAGGCTCAAATGCCAGGGTTCATAGCAGCGCCGCCCCATTTCGGCACACCGCTCGCGCGCTTCGTGGCCCCATAGAGAGCCCCAACTAAGGCCAAAATGCCAGGGTCCGCCTGGCGGCGCCGCCTCATTTCGGCGCACCCCTCACATGTGTCGTGGCACCACAGAGATCCCAAACCAAGGCCTAAATGTTAGGGTCCGCATGGCGGTGCCGCCTCATTTCGGTTCACCCCTCACTCGTTTCGTAGCTCCTGAGGGAGCCCAAACTAAAGCCCAACTGCCAGGGTCCGCATGGCGGCGCCGCCTCGTCTCACCACACCCCTCCAACGCTTCGAGGCCCCACAGGGGGCGCAACAGAGAGCCTCAGGGTCCGCAGGGCGGCGACGCTCCCATTTCGGCACACCCCTCGCTTGCTTTTCCTGGCCCCTGTCGGGAGCCCCACCGAGCGCCCCTACAGTGGAGACCCATGCCAAGAAGCACCCTGCTTGCCTCCCGGGTGCCCTGGGTTTCTTGGGTTTCGATGGCTGTGCTATGGAAAGCGTGACGCTCCCGCACCAAAAATCAATGGACGTCCTGGGGTCTCAGGGTTGGGTCTCTTGTGGAAGGTTCCTTGTGGTCGGGCCCCTACTGCATCGGCAGGGCTCGCACGGCGCGCCCGCCCTCCAAACTCAGCACGCCCCTCACGCATTTCGTGGTCCCCAAGGGAGCCTCGCCCAGGGTCCCCGCAAACCGGGGCTTGCGTGGCCAGCCCGCTCCCCGAGGCGGCACACCGTGCGCGCGTGCTGCGGCCCCCGTGGGGAGCTCACGAGACAGGCCCCCCAGCGGCAGTGTTCGCGCACGGCGCCGCACCGCGAGGCTGTGCGCGCCGGTCCGTCATGTGGCTCGCCACCCTCCTTTCGACTAGACTCGCAGGCCTAGAGGTTGACACCAACACCAAGATCGGCGGTGTGCCTCCACCGAGGGAAGACGATCCCGATCTCGGTGATGGTGGTAAGATTTTGGCTTCCAAGGTGACCAAAAGAATACCACCAACACCGAAATCTAGGATCACTTTTCCCATGCGGAGGCAAACCCCTGTGCTGGTGTTGGTGCCAATTTCCAGGCCTCCAACAGACGTAAGAGTGACCCTTCGCCAGAGTGACCTTTGGTGCGGGACCACTGGGGTCCCCCTATCGCCGAACGCGATGAGATAGTAGCGTCTTGCGCGCTTATGTTTGGCGCCAGTTTGGTCGAGGCCCCCCAACAAAAAAACACCCACAAACAAAAGGTCACTCTTGCCCAGGGTCACTCTTGCGTGTAGCCGATCCTTTTTCTCCCTTGCATCGCGGCGTTTGCAGCTGAAGATGATTGGGACTCTCGCTAGGATAATCAGTGTCCCGCCTTGGCGACCCTCGTCCCAGCCGCTCCAGGCCCGCTCTGGCCCCTGTCAGTCTCTGATCCAGCCCAGGCCACTTCCACTCTCGTGGAGTTTCCAGCATCGATGTTCCAGCTCCTCTGCGGGGCCAGAAAGTACCTCGGGCGGACGTCTGGTCCTTCCCAGGGACAGTGGGTGCTGGTATCGGCCATGTGTTCAGACCCCTGCCTCACGATTTCCATCATGGTCTGGGCGAGTCGCCTGTCCTCTCTCCTCCCGCGCGGCCACCCTCTCCTGTCCCGCGGGCTTGCGTACAACTCGCCCAGCTGCGCCCCCATTCGGCTAGCATCGCCCAGCTTGCTACGGACGCGGTGCGCGATCGCCACCGTCGCTTCTTTTACAAGGCTGAACCCCTGCGGGGGTGAAGGGAACACCGATCCGCCCCCTCTGGCCCCCCCTGTGCTGATCTCAGCATGGGTTGTGATCTCGGAGGTTCAACTGCCTCGTGTCCGCCTGAGCATAGCAGCATGTGCGGTGATCGAAGGGTCGATTGTCTCTTGTCCACTCAATCCCCCCCTCAGTTTACCGCACTCTCAACCTCCCAATGTTCATTTGGGGTGTGCCGCAGGTTTCGAGTGTAACGGGGGTAGGTAGGGTTCGGTAGCAAATCATGGGAGCCTGGTATATCTTTTTAATTCCGTCCTTAGCGTCGATTAGCGTTTGGGAGTCGATGAGATAGCGCCGATTTAGCGTCGGCTAGCGTGGATTTAGGGCCGATTAGCGTCGATTTAGCGTCGATCAGCGTCGATTCGCAAGAGCCGACAAGATGGTATGGGAGGCTCCCATGAGTTGCCACCGAAGCAGGGAG